TCCGAGAGCTCCCAAAGCCACTGCAAGCTGCTCTTGGAATGCAGAGCTCCAAGGCGCAACTCATGACGTTACGAAGGCTCCTCAGGCTCCCCCTGGGCCACACACTGTGCACAGGTCCTGGCACATATCGATGCAGATGCGCGGAGGATTGCTGTGTGACTACATGAGAAAGGATAAGGTCAGGGTTATCCACCCGCATCTTCACTCAAGGCAAGCATGACCAACGTGTTCTGCATGCAGCTTCTCTGTAAGGTTTCAGAGACGTCGGGGTTCAGAAGATTGCGTGTGATCCGGACTGCACATGCCGATGTACCAAGCACCGCATGCAGCACAGCTTGAACTTTGCTGAAAGATGCCTGGACTGCCATGAAATGCCATGAAGCCAGACAGTGCCACAAGGTTCTCCGCAAGAAGGTATGCTTTGTGCAATTTTAGGTGGGGGTCTCTGTGCAGTAAGAGCCCAACGGTGCCCAGTGTGGGTACGACTCTGCTACGTACAGGCTATCAGGTTGGTCTATGGCCTACCCTGGAGCAGGGTGATCGCACGTGCATACCAGTGGTCGTGCAGAACGGATCATGTCAAGAAACGATTGCACCGTGCGCTCCAAGTTTGATCAGAGTTACCGAAGGATCTGAGCATGAGTGAAGGTTCGATGCCTGCAGCGACAAATCAAGAGAGAGCGAGAGAGAGAGAGAGAGAGAGAGAGAGTCCGCCGGGCAGAAGAAGAGAGAGAGAGAGAGAGAGAGAGAGTCGAACAGAGGCGTAGCGCTCGCAGAGGGTGGGGAATGAATCGGATGGGCTTTTAAGCCCGGGGGCTGTGACAAGTCCCCACAAGCCGAGGAGAGAGAGCAAGAGAGAGAGGATGCTCAAACCGAGAGCAAAGCAACGAGAGAGGGTGAGGGATTTGAAATTTTTCTGCGAACAGAGCCTGATGAGTGCCACAGGGGGGCAGGGACGAGGCCTGGAGGTTCATAGCACAAAGGGGGGCTCGCTGCAGCAAAATTTTGAACCGACCACGCAGTTCTATGCCGTTGTCATTGGGACCCCAAAATAACACATTGGATTGGGTTGGGCCGGCCGATGGCCTGAGGGTCGCACAGCGAGCCACAAGCCCAGCAGAAGGAAAGAAAGGGAGCGACCCATGTTGTGCAGTCATGTCTGTTGTGATTCCATGGTTAGCCTTCCGAGGGCCCCTCACGCGCCGGCGCCCGGTGATGCATTGCCAGTCGAGCACGTGGTGATAGTCCTAGTGGTGACTGGAGGGAGACCGGTGCCTCAGTCCTCTCCAGTCCAACTGTTTCGGTGCGGCACAATTTCCCGCGGAGGGGCGGGACGGAATGCACTCACTGCCCCTCTGCCTGTGAAGAAGAGTCATGAGCAAGCAAGAGAGAGAGAGAGAGAGAGAGAGAGAGAGCCTGACGCCGCAGGATGGTTGCCGGAGGTGAAGTGTCCGATGACATGAAAATCGCCTCCTTCCCGGCTTCTGGATTTTTTGCATTTTCAATTGATTTCTGTTACATATTCCAGGTGGCCGATCGGATGCAGAGCATACGGGCACCGCGCACGTCGGGTGGCTACGCGCAGGCCAGGCCAGCAAGGGAGGGCCCAACCGGAAGCGAGACGAGCTTAGCGATCTCTTTTCAGCGAGGCTGTGAAGAGTGGCTCCAAGAGTGTCGGGATCGAAAAATGGAAGGACCGGCTCTCCTCTGCCTCTCCCTGCCTGTCCTGCTCTCACTTGCTCCGCAGCTCTCGGTCTGTGTTTGGGAGGCTGCGAAGACGCCCGAGGGCCACAGCTACTACTACAACTCCAGGACTGGCGAGTCCACATGGGAGCGACCCATGGAGCTGGGAGGACCCCTCGTGAGCCCCGCTTGCCTTAGAACCTTGAAGTAATGCGGCGGCTTTCGGAGTACTGAAAGGATCTGATTGCGACAGGTATACAAGAGCGGAGACGAGGTGGAGGTGTGGAGCAACGGCATGCGAGCGAAGCCTGGCAGAAAATCAGGAAGCTAAAGCTACACACAATAGTCTCTTTGCATGTGTGAGGGTGTGTGGAGACTTCGTCTGAGGTGGGGCAAAGGTAAAGTCTTGCAGGCGGGTTCGCAGCTTCGAGTCTCGCGCTGTCTTGCCCGGGACACCTCCAGTGGAAGCCCGTCACAGGTGAAGGATGACAAGGTTACGGCGGAGTTTTGTCTTCGTGATGGCAGCATAGCACGAAAGGCGACAACTGCATCGGCTGGGCCATTCCTCTTGAGAAGAGCCGTTTTGAAGGAGCTACCCTGTCAGCACAAAGAGCGGGCGCCCCGGAGTGTCGGCAGTTTCGTGCGATGACGTTGAAAGGCTCATGGCTTCGTCCGGTTTTACAGCCTTGTCCCGGGTTCTGCTTCTGAGCGGACTGCAACAAAATTAACTGGCAGTTGCTTGAGTTGTTTGTAGCTCAACAAAAAGAAGCAGCCGCAGAATCAGCAGCCCTCGTGGGTACCTTTTCTGAAGCTCCCACGGCTTGGTGACTCCGGACTGGCATACCCCCCTGTACCGGTCAGTGCCTTGTACCCGGGTGCTGGGTACGCAGCAGCTAGAGCTGCCTAGCAGAGGATTTGCAGACGTTGATTCGCGAGTCTTTGCGCGTTTTTGCATTTTCTCAGTCTTCGCCCTGCCGCGGCCGAAGCGACGCAAGCCTGGTCATCCGATGAGCAGGACACAGCACAGTCGTTGCGAACTGTCCTTGGCTTTGGTGCCTCCAAAACGACTCCTGGTAAAGCTGTGAGTTCAAAGAGATTCGCGAAAACAGGGTTGCCAGCTCAACGAATCAGGAAAGATGGGACTGGGATGCTCTCTAGGGAAAGGCCCGCTTGATGCCTTTCCAAGAAAGCCCGAGTCACTTGTCACCGTCGTCTTTGGGTAAGCGCGCAGAGGAAGCTAGATCGAAAACAACTGAATCTCGCCCCAGGCTGGTGGCCGGTGGCCCTGAACATGTTGTGCTATCGGAAGCCTGCTACTGCATATTTCCTTTCGCAGGAAGCCTACCAATCATGGTTTAATGCCATGAAGGAGGGCTGCTTGGATGCACGCCTGCAGCGTTCCGTCGTTGGACTGACGGCATCGCCTAGCATGCGCGAGACGGCATGACGTCGATTCAGTCCCTTGCGCTGAGGCTCGTCCAGTTCGAAGCCTGCTTTGCAGGTTTCGCAATTTCTTTGGAGATCGGGACTGCCTCGTGAAGCTTTGAAGCAGGCCGTGCCGCTGTGCCCGAATGCTGCTGCGCTTGCTTTTGCAAGCATAGAAAGCTTTGAAGACAGTGTCCGAAAGCGCGTATCCAGTCTTAGTGGTGAACCCGGGAGGTTTGGGCCATTGCCAACCCTGGCAGCCGAACAAGTCTGTCCTTCGAGGCCGTATGCTGCAAAAGAGCGTTGCTCTCACATCTAGAGGCACGGGTTGAAGACGTAGGAGTTCGCGAAGTGCTGCCGTTTGGTTGCCCATTGCCAAGCTCTGGATGCTGACTTCGCTCGAGTCTCGGGCAATGCATGGGGCAGCAGCCTGGTAGCCTGGCCTCTCCGGAAAGGTGAAGAGAGGCGACCGTCCACTGCGGGTCCGGCTCCGAACAGAGTGCCTGCACAAAAGGCCGGGGGCGGGGGCCTCGCAGTACACTTGCGGTACGGTGGCTTGTGCGGTGGTTTGTACGAGCAAGGTCGCTTCGGCTTGCTGTTTTGTCGTTTTGAGCTCCTCAGGCCGCCGGCCTTGCCAAGATTCGAGAAAGGAGCCTAGAAGTGCTTTCGAGCTCGCCAAGCCAGAATGATGACTCAGACTGGCGCATGAAATCATCTTGGCAAAAACGAATACTCGCCCGGGCAGGTGCAGTCGCTGATTTTCGGGCCTAGGCTTGTTCTAAAAGGAAGCACCACAAGATGCAAGCTTTAGTCGAATGCCATCCGGCAGATCCTTGCTCTTGCACGATCTGTGATGCGGCCGAGCATGATCATTCGTGGCCGTTTGCGGATCTGGTAGCACGGCAACAGGTCTTTGTCACTGAGCAAAGCCATGGCTTTTTCCAAATCCCCGCGCTTCCCCGGCCGGGAGTTTTCCACTCCCGGGCCGGGGACATACAACCCGAGTGCCAGCCTCGGGCTTCCGCGGGTATTCGCCTACGCGTTTGGTCCCCCCAGAGCCCCCGCAACATCGCACCCTCGCAAGCAGAAGAAGCAGAAGGAGAGGCTGGGCGCGCTAGCGACTGTCGACGTGGCCAAGCTGCAGCTGCAACACGAGCTCGGCCAAGGCGGCCTGGGCACAGTGAAAGAAGCGCTGCTGGGGGGCAAGCCGGTGGCTCTGAAAGAGTTCCGGCACCAGCCAGGCTTGCACTCGAAAATGGAAGAAGATTTAGAATCTTTGCAGAAGGAGAGGCTGGGCGCGCTAGCGACTGTCGACGTGGCCATTCGCAGCATAGTCGGCAGCACGGGGGATAGCCTCCCCGTAGAGGTAGTAGTTCCGGCTATTGCCCAGTTTCAAGAGACCGTAGAGGGTCACTTCGTAACCGAGCCCGTGATATCTCGCGGTGACCTTCTCGCATACCTGCAAGAGGCCTTAGATGACCACTCAGCGCCATCGACCAACAACAGTTGGGAAGTGGCGTCGGCGAGGTCGCGCTCTTCGAGGGCCTCCGCGACGAGGCACGCCTTCGTGGCTTTTACCGAGGGGGTCACAGATATCCATCCGGCTTTGGTTGATTTGCCCGTAGTAAACATCTACGAGGACGAGCATGTATAAGCTGCAGCTGCAACACGAGCTCGGCCAAGGCGGCCTGGGCACAGTGAAAGAAGCGCTGCTGGGGGGCAAGCCGGTGGCTCTGAAAGAGTTCCGGCACCAGCCAGGCTTGCACTCGAAAATGGAAGAAGATTTAGAATCTTTAAAGGCAGAGGCCGTGATGCTGCACAGCATCCGGCATCCCAACATCGTGCAAGTCGTGAGTCTGGTTTCTAGGGAGGGTTTCATCACTGGCTTCATCATGGAGAGACTCGGCGAAAGCCTGCAAAAGGCTGCCGACTCAGGCGAGTTGTGCCGCCAACGACTCGAGCTGGCCTTTCGAACAACCTGCGAGGGTGTCGGCCATCTGCATAACCTTCTTATTGCACACACGGACATCAAACCGTCGAAGCTTAGCAGAGTGAGTGTGCATTTTATGCGTTTTTTTTGAGCAGTTCTCCGGGTTACAGAACTGAAGGTGTGCCTGAGCTCAGCAATCAAGGAACATTTGCTTCAAAGATCCCTTCGCCTCCGACGTGGCTTACAATCGCTGAATTAGTACACTTTGCAGTTTAGGGGATAACATTATCCCCTGTGGAACTGAAATTCTTCACTTGTTGGGGCTTCTGAACTCAGCAGCTGAGGCGAAGTTGATCGACTTCGACGCGGCGGAGAACCTCCAGCACTCTGAGCAGATCATGCAGAGGCAGCCGAACAACGTGGTCGTGTGGTCTCCCGAACGGCGCGAAGAAGGGTCCACGCGGCGCTTCCTGCCGGAAGACGTCTTCGCCGTCGGCTATACTTTCGCGATACTGATGAAGGATGTCGGAGACAAGTGTCTCTGGCTTCGAGCGCAGGTGAAACCGCTTCTTCGAGTTGCCAGCGCCCGACCATCCATGCACCAGGCTTTACAGCACACCCAGGCCGTGATGGAATCCGAACATGAGCCACTGCCAGCGCTCCTTGGGAGCAAGCAGTGCCAGACCCCGCTCGAAAAGATGTTCGGCCTGTGAACGGCCCATCGACAATAATCTATTGAGGCCAGGGTGCCTCGGCCAAGCTGAGCAGAGCAAGACAAGTTGCGGCTCCAGACACGCGACTTGCTGTTGGAACGCCCGCAGAGCGAAAATTTCTTGGAGGTCTGGCAAGACGCGCCTCTACAGGGGTCAGCCAAGTCATCAGACGATGTGGACAAGTTGCGCCAGCAAGCGCGTGCAGCACTTCGGGGGGTATGCTGGCCGTGAGCCCTCCAGCTCTTTCGGGCGATCTTGCAGAACTGGCTGAGACCTTCGACTGTTCTGTTTCGCAGCATGGGTGGCCATTTGGTCATCTTTTGTGCCACGACGCTGGTCCACTTCGCCATGCGCGACTGCTGTTCCAACCTTGGCAGCAAACACGATGCCTCGTTACCCGGCATGTGAGAATGGGAGCGTACGGTCGCCGCCAGCCATATGACACTCGCCGCTGGAAACGTCAGGCTTGAAAACACTGCTCCGCATCGTAGCACTTGGTTGGCCAGTGGGGATGGCGACCTTTGCCTTTGCCCAGCTTCTTGATTTATTGCAGCAGCCGTTAGCAGCTTGCCTTTTCCATATGTTTCCGAAACAGAAGCATGCCGGGGAATCGGACTGTCCCCAAGATCTCACCAAACAGCTGCCAGAGTTGTGTTCATGAGTGGAGCTGGCAATTCCTAAGAGAAGCTGAGTAAATCGAGGGAGGTCCAGCTTGGACACATAGCAGCAACGAGTTTTCCGTGCACATCGAGCCATTACTTGGTGCCATCTCGGTTCGACGTTGCCGGTCGCCTACTGCAGTTCTAGCACAAACCCACAAATTGTGTTATACTTGTTTGACTTGCATTTGTTTCTTTCTGTTTCCGAGGTCATGGAGGTTTTGCTCAAAGACACCAAAGGCCGCAATGGGCGCAACAAGAGCATGGCCATGGGGCTGGGGTTGTAAATGCCTTCAGGTGTGTCACCCGAGACTATCATCTCTATCAGAGCAGGCTCCACACGTCGCCAGGCAGCGTCGAATAGTGGCCATGCGGCTTGCTAGTGGTTGCTCGGTGTTTGCAGGTGCCAGTGTCTCTGGCAGACAAGCCATTTAAGCAGCACTCCCGGTTTTTCCGGCTCCGGTTCATTGCAAGTGACTGCATGCCTCAGCGACGAGGTTCCCATGTCAGCTATCGGAGTGTGGTGCCATCAAGGCAGCTTGTGTGACAAGAATGTGATTTGATAAGACCTTGCCGTGCGCTCCGGTGACAGAGGTCGACTTCATGACTGTCACAGCATCGGCACGAGCCATTCTCCGACCCGAAGGCACGCCGAGCTGATCCGTCTCTAATCGCACTTCAGCCTCGTGATCACCATGCAGGAAGAGACTGTTGTTGCTTGTTTCTTCTCGCAGGCGAGCAGGATGTCCAGCTGAAGATGGTCAAGAGAAGCTCCTCTGAGGAGGCTTTTGCAGCAGCTCTGTGGGCTATCATCCGGTGTGCCCTTTTGTGCCCGCGCTAACAGGCTGTGCCTGAAGAGGCAGAGGCAAGGGAGGGTTGCCTGGCGCTGTAAAATTGCAGGAGAGGCAGGCGAAAGTTCTTGGATAGGTCTCCTTGCTGGTGCGAAGCTCATCAGGCCGTGCTTTCCGACTGTGTGCTTCGCATCTGCGATTGCTCGTGAGCCGGAGGAGAGGGGGCTTCAACAGCAGTGTCGGAGCCCATAAAACACCGCTCGTATCGCAATCGGGCCAGATGGAGGAGTGTGGAATGACTGAGGTCCCCGGAGGAACGTGCTGCAAAGAAGCGGGGTTTGGCAAGTGCAACAGAGGAGTATCTTTCAAAGCATGGGGTGATGACCTCAGTGCCACAGTCAGGAAAACAGATGAAGAGCCCCCAATCTGCGAGGTGCTGACCTTCATTCAGGGCGTGCTGCAAGGTGTCATCCGAGACAGGCCGGGCTGCGTCTTTCTCCCCAGCTCCCGGGCGCAACAGTGCCTTCACTGCTCAACTTGGGTCTCCGTCAGCTGTAAATCGTCTCATCGAGTGGTCCACGGCCGTAGGTTGAGAGTCCTGAGAGAGGCTTTGGTCATCATTCGAAGCAGACATTCGATGCGGATTCCAGAGTCACAGAGCCAGCTTTGTGGTCCCTCCCCTTCGTCCACGAAGTCGTATTTTAGGGTTTCATCTGCTCCGGACTCCGGACCTGGTTCTATCGCCGTCCTAGCTGGAGCAAAAAGTTTCGAATCGCATTGCCGCAGTCTTTTTGTATCCTGTCTTGCCTGGGTAGGGCCAAGCAGCCCCAGCCCCCAACTTGTCTTGTCAACTCTAGATCCGCCGAGTGACAGTACCGCGAGACCCATGTGTCAGCCGCTCCAAAAAATGTGGGTACCGCGAGGCCCGAAGATCCCTACAAGTACGCCCGGGCCCGAGCTTTCCCCAAGCGGTGCCTGTGCAGAGGAGTCGTAGGGTGCGTGTCTCTTGTGCTCTGGGCGCCGAAGAAGGGCCTTGGCAGTTGTTGGCAGAGACGACTTCGGCAGAGACGACTTCGACTTCTGCGCTCTGCTCTTGCAGTTGTTGGCACTGGACATGCGCTCTGCTCGTCAGGTTGCGGATCAGTTTGCATCGGCCTCCGTCTCCAAGAAGGTTTCGGCCCCAGTGGGATCCGGATCCGGCCCGCAGTGCCCGCATGGCTCCCGCAAGTTGCCACGGGCCACCGATTTCAGGAGACTCCGACCTTGGAGGAGATGCGACAGACCGCCCGAGATGCGCTCCTACAGGGGGCAAAATCCGGCAAGCTGCTGGAGGCACGACGCGTAGAAACGCCGGTTTCGTTCCAAGTGCTCTAGCGTGCCGCAGGTCCTTCGCGAGAGCACAACTCCCAAAGCCTCCAGCCCGAAGGCCGTGTAGCAGCCCACAACTCTGAAACAGCACAGTGGCCGGGAAGCCAGCATGTCGGCTTGTGGCCCGGCACCCAATGTATGTCTGTGATGAGCCGCAATGTTTTGCTGCAGGCAAATGGAGGAGAGGTGGAGGCTTCTGTTGATGAGCTGCGGCAGCTAGCCAGGGATGCCTTATTGAGAGGTGCTCAGTCGGGCAAACTCTTTGACGTGCTGGCTGAGAGCAGCGCCAAGAAAGAGCAAGCACACAAGAAGGCAGACGCAGATCTAGACAAGTTGCGGCTCCAGGCACGCGACTTGCTTTTGGAAGGCGCGCAGAGTGGGAAGCTGTTGGAGGTCTTGCAAGGCACGCCTCTACAGGAGTCAGCCGAGTCGTCGGACGATGTGGACAAGTTGCGCCAGCAAGCGCGTGAAGCACTTCTGGAGGGAGCAAAGTCCGGCAAATTGTTTGATGTCCTGGCATCAACGCAGACAGTCGGGCAGGAGGATGCTGCAGAGGGAGGCAGCAAAGCAGAAGGTAAAGCGGGCGAGGGTGCCGAGATAGATGCACTCCGCCAGCAGGCACGCGACTTGCTTTTGGAAGGCGCGCAGAGTGGGAAGCTGTTGGAGGTCTTGCAAGGCACGCCTCTACAGGAGTCAGCCGAGTCGTCAGACGATGTGGACAAGTTGCGCCAGCAAGCGCGTGAAGCACTTCTGGAGGGAGCAAAGTCCGGCAAATTGTTTGATGTCCTGGCATCAACGCAGACAGTCGGGCAGGAGGATGCTGCAGAGGGAGGCAGCAAAGCAGAAGGTAAAGCGGGCGAGGGTGCCGAGATAGATGCACTCCGCCAGCAGGCACGCGACTTGCTTTTGGAAGGCGCGCAGAGTGGGAAGCTGTTGGAGGTCTTGCAAGGCACGCCTCTACAGGAGTCAGCCGAGTCGTCAGACGATGTGGACAAGTTGCGCCAGCAAGCGCGTGAAGCACTTCTGGAGGGAGCAAAGTCCGGCAAATTGTTTGATGTCCTGGCATCAACGCAGACAGTCCGGCAGGAGGATGCTGCAGAGGGAGGCAGCAAAGCAGAAGGTAAAGCGGGCGAGGGGGCCGAGATAGATGCACTCCGCCAGCAGGCACGCGACTTGCTTTTGGAAGGCGCGCAGAGTGGGAAGCTGTTGGAGGTCTTGCAAGGCACGCCTCTACAGGAGTCAGCCGAGTCGTCAGACGATGTGGACAAGTTGCGCCAGCAAGCGCGTGAAGCACTTCTGGAGGGAGCAAAGTCCGGCAAATTGTTTGATGTCCTGGCATCAACGCAGACAGTCGGGCAGGAGGATGCTGCAGAGGGAGGCAGCAAGCAGAAGGTAAAGCGCGAGACAGAGATAGATGCACTCCGCCAGCAGGCCGCGACTTGCTTTTGGAAGGCGCGCAGAGTGGGAAGCTGTTGGAGGTCTTGCAAGGCACGCCTCTACAGGAGTCAGCCGAGTCGTCAGACGATGTGGACAAGTTGCGCCAGCAAGCGCGTGAAGCACTTCTGGAGGGAGCAAAGTCCGGCAAATTGTTTGATGTCCTGGCATCAACGCAGACAGTCGGGCAGGAGGATGCTGCAGAGGGAGGCAGCAAAGCAGAAGGTAAAGCGGGCGAGGGTGCCGAGATAGATGCACTCCGCCAGCAGGCGCGCGACTTGCTTTTGGAAGGCGCGCAGAGTGGGAAGCTGTTGGAGGTCTTGCAAGGCACGCCTCTACAGGAGTCAGCCGAGTCGTCAGACGATGTGGACAAGTTGCGCCAGCAAGCGCGTGAAGCACTTCTGGAGGGAGCAAAGTCTGGCAAGCTGTTCGAGGTTTTATCCACGAAAAGTGACCAGACTGAGCAATCAGCATCGCAGCCAGCAAAAATGCCGTCTGCAGAGGACGACATGGACGACTTGCGCAGGCAGGCCCGTGAAGCCCTTCTGCTTGGCGCGCAGTCTGGAAAGCTGATGGAGCTGCTGGCCAAGAACAGCGAGCAGAAAGCAGCGAGCAAGAGGGGCAGCGGGACCGGGAGCACGAATCCGGATGAACTGGAATTGCTTCGGCAGCAAGCACGAGAGGCCCTTATCCAGGGTGCCCAGAGTGGAAGGCTGCTAGAGGTCCTGGCGAAGCCGGATGAGGCAGACGAGATGTTCCAACTTAAAAAGAAGCTATGCGAGGCCATTGCAGGAAGCATGGAGACGGGAGAGCTCACAGAAGCTTTGAGGGAAGCCCGGGACTTGAAGACACAAGAGATTGGCGATGCCTTGCGAGATGGCGCCGAATCTGGAAAGATCCTTGAGATTCTTGCAGAGAAGGCGGCGGGAACGGGTGGAGATGATGCGTGAGGCACTCGGACCCCCTTAGTCAAACATGCACCGAGTCCGTGCCTCTGCTCAGCAAATGCACAACTTCTGAACCTGCCGAGGAAGCCGCTGGAAACGACACAGAAGCCTGAGGACGCGTGCGCTGCGCATCGCTGCCCGTCTGAGTCACCGGGAAAGGCTTGTTGGATGTGTGCAGGAGGTGACCCAGAAACTCTTAGAGACCTCAGAGGCCCGGAGGAAGGGGAAGATTTCCAGGGTTTATGTTCTGTGAGTACCGTGAGCACCGACAGGCGCCAAAGGCGACCCCCGAGGCAGACAGGCCAGTCTGAGAGTCTCTCTCTGTCTGTTATGAAACAGCTTGGCCTTCTGAGTGCATTGCAGGGCGACAGCGGTGGACTTGGCTCTCCAGCATGGGGACTCAGAGATCTGGTTGCGTCTTGCAGAAGCCGCCGTATGAGGTCCTGTTTAACTTGGCCGTGAGATAATGCGTGGCATAGTTGACGGTATATTTAGGGGCTGCGCCCAGGTGCGGGCAGCGCGAGCTGTTGTCAGAAACCCGCGGTATATAGATAAGTGCAACGTAGGCCCGAAGTGCGCAACTTGTGGGTGATCGTAGGCTCTCAGCCCCCGTCGGCCCTGCATGTAGCCCGCACCCCCCGTCCGCCGGACCCCGCTGATGCTCATGATGCGCGCCCTTTGGCGGCTTCCGCAACCCACTCAAAAACTTGGGAGTTATGACTTCGCGCCCACGTCGCGCCGCCGGCGCCGGTTGCGGGCGCCCGAGGGCTCATGATGCTCGCCGGCTCGCCTCCTGGCGTCGTCCACGGCGGCCCCGAAACCCGCCACACCGCGGGGAATGGCTGCAAAACGCGTGCGCGTTCCGAGACGCCTTCGGGCCAGGCCCCGCGCGGCCGAGGGAGAAACGAGGGTCCGATGATGCGGGGTCCGGGGCGGGTCGGCGGCACTGTCGGTCGTGGCTTCTGCTTCGCAGACGAAGCTCATTCGTCTGAGCCATAGCTCAGTCCATACAGGGCAGCGAAGCGCTGCCCGATTTATGGGCTGCCGCCACTGCCGCCGACCCCAAAAGAAGAGAGGTGACCATCCAAGGAAGGCAGCAGGTGTTGAAAGCAGCCAACCCTGATACGGAGGAAGTGACATGAAATAATAAGATAGGGCCTGCAAGTCTTGTAACTGGCAGGAGTAGCATGAGCACATGACTGATGCGGCGAAGTATTCGGACTGACGCAGTGCTCAGCTCTCGGACATTGTGTGCGCATGTTTCAGCAACCTTGTGACTCAGAGGCAAAAGGCATCCGCACAAAACCACGTTTTGCAGGAAGGCTGTGTTCGTTATGGTTAATGTCAACCTCCTATTAATAAACCCCCCCTCTCCCCCCACCCCCTTGATTGATTTGGCGCCCGGGGTGGGGGGGATTGATTATTGAGGGGGGGGTCGGTCGTCGTAGTACAGTAGTATATACGGAAGCCATGGGGTGGTATGACAAAAAAATCGCGGGGCATCGCAAGGCCGGGAGATGGTGGGGGTAGTGAAAACGGTGGTGGCGGTGGATGAAGGTGGTGGTGGATGAAGGTGGTGGGGGTGGTGAGGGCGGTGAGGGCGGTGTGGGCGGCGGGGGCGGTGTGGGCGGTGGGGCGTGGGCGGTGTGGGCGGTGCAGGCGTGGCAGTAATGGAGATGGTGGGGGTGGTGGCGCGGGGGGATCCGGGCACACATTGGCAGCCTTTAAACTCTTTAAACAGCGGGCGGTGAGAGCGGTGAAGACGGTGGGAACGGTGAAAGCGGTGGAGGCACAGTGCAGGCGTGGCAGTAATGGGTGGTGGCGGTGGATGAAGGTGGTGGGGGTGGTGAGGCCGGTGAGGGCGGTGTGGGCGCGGGGGGGTCCGGGCACACATTGGCAGCCTTTAATGCTCAGGCGGTGAGAGCGGTGCATGGAGACGGTGGGAACGGTGAAAGCGGTGGAGGCACAGTGCAGGCGTGGCAGTAATGGAGATGGTGGGGGTGGTGGCGGTGGATGAAGGTGGTGGGGGTGGTGAGGGCGGTGAGGGCGGTGTGGGCGGTGGCGGCGGTGTGGGCGGTGGGGGCGGTGGGGGCGGTGTGGGCGGTGGGAGCGCGGGGGGGTCCGGGCACACATTGGCAGCCTTTAAATACTCTTTATTTTTTAAACACCTACAAATACAGCGGGCGGTGAGAGCGGTGGAGACGGTGGGAACGGTGAAAGCGGTGGAGGCACAGTGCAGGCGTGGCAGTAATGGAGATGGTGGGGGTGGTGGCGGTGGATGAAGGTGGTGGGGGTGGTGAGGGCCGTGAGGGCGGTGTGGGCGGTGGGGGCGGTGTGGGCGGTGGGGGCGGTGGGGGCGGTGTGGGCGGTGGGGGCGCGGGGGCGTCCGGGCACACATTGGCAGCCTTCAAATACTGTTTACTCTTTAAACACCTACAAATACAGCGGGCGCTGAGAGCGGTGGAGACGGTGGGAACGGTGAAAGCGGTGCAGGCACAGGGCAGGCGTGGCAGTAATGGAGATGGTGGGGGTGGTGGCGGTGGATGAAGGTGGTGGGGGTGGTGGGGGTGGTGAGGGCGGTGAGGGCGGTGTGGGCGGTGGGGGCGGTGGGGGCAGTGGGGGCGCGGAGAGGTCCGGGCACACATTGGCAGCCTTTAAATACTCTTTAAACACCTACAAATACAGCGGTGAAAGACTCTTTGAACAGAGCAGTGGAGGCGGTGGAAGCGGTGTGGGTGCGGACACCTCTCGGGATATCACGGGCGCCGCCCGCAGGGGTCAGCGGATACTCTGGACACAGCCACAAGTCAGGCTGAAGCTTCTGCAGGACCAGAAGAGGACGCTGCGTACCCATTCCTGCAGTCTGTTTTCAGGGTGCCCGGTGCTTTGCGTGTATGCCTCATATCGAAGAGGATCATGTCTCTTCTCTTAGCGCTTTCAATAGAGGCAACAGGCAACAATAAGTGAAGGAACTTGACGATGACCCCACGAGCCCCAACATCAAGCAGATCCCTCCCTCTACCCTCAGCAGGAAGTCTGAAACAGCTTCATGCGTTTCGACTCTAGCAGGACGATGGCTGCCGAGAAGGAGTGCTTGTCTTCCGGGCCTGCTTGGTCAGCGAGGTTGTTGATGGGTTTAGCAGCTGAAGTGCTTATGGCTTGTGCCCTCCCATATGCCGTTCGAAGGCTGCTGGAGGCTCTGTACCTGTGTGGCTGCCACAGTATGCCAGGGAAGACCTTTTAAAAGAGCTCGAGCTGAAGAACAGCGTGCTTCGAAGCAGGTGTCGCAAGGGCGGGCTGTGGTAAGATTCAGATTAGATTCTTTTGTTCAGTTGATCAAGACATGCCCGGCACGCAGGAGCAGGAGTTCTTCAAAGGAAGAGGCTGCGTAAACCTGTTTCACCCTTGCAAATCAGCAAGCTTAGCAGTATCATTAATGTGCAAGAGTCATAAAGATTTCACAAGTAATGCAAAACAGCCACAAACCATGGAGTTGACATCTGCGAGCTCCTCCAGTCACAAAACAACTAGAACCAGACTGGAGTGGCTTGGGAAAATTTGTAGTCCGGATGGTGCGGAGCAGCATCCACTTCGACGCGAAAACGGCAGCCGACCAGGTTACCGGGTCATCTTTGCTGATTTACGAAGGCAGGCTTTGTGCCAAGGTCTTTCGATCATATGCCGGCAGTCCCAGCAAGGACATGGATGAAGTGTTCTTGCATCCTGTAGATTCTAGATTGAAGACAGGGTGTTGGTTGTCTGCTCGACGCGAAGGTCTCGGACGAGGGTTTGTGCCGGTCTTTTGTGACACGTTTCACTTTACAACAGTCTCACCTGCTAGGGATTGCTGCAGTCTGCATTTTGCGAAAACTCGGCTGTTGTTTCTGGCAGGAGCTGACAGTTCCTAAACAACCTGTGACATGTGGCTTTCGCAGCTGGGCTAACCCACGAAACTCAGGCCAGCGCTTTGCTGACCGAGCCTCAAACTGTTGCTGATTTCTTATTTCATGCGTCTCGCCGTGCCGATGCGCAGACATCTTCCATAGCAGGCAGCTGATCATGCGGTTTCTTCCAGGCGTGTTCTTGTAAGATAGGTTCGTTTGAGCATGAGCAGAGGAGGCATGCATCATATCTGATCCAGCTGAACTGCGCAACCCTTCCTCCATGCAAAGCTGCTACTACCACGTGCTGGACAGCATGGGAACAAGCTCGCAAGGCTCGTAGCAGAACATCTTCAGAGTCAACTGCCAAATAGGTTCCACCAGTTGTCGCCATGCTGCCCGGCAATTCGAAGGCAGGTGGTCACTCCATCCTCCCTACGCGACATGGTAATAGCGTTGGGACAACGGTTTTGTCGAGGCTCTGTAGACAGGTCGGGAGGGGGGTTATGTCAATGTGATTTCCACCGCGTTGATGCCGCCCTGTGGGTGGGCACAGGTGGTGAGACAGAGACACGTTGGTATGAATCCGCAGCTCGCACCTTCGAATCGTAGCCCGAAACATGACCCCAGAGCAAGTGATGGTACTCTGCATCACTTGCTTGTCTGCGCAAGTTGAACTCTAAGTTCTGGAGCTGTTGCGACCTTGGGTTGGCGAAGTTTTCACCGAAGATTGGCTACCAGAACCGCGCATCCCAATAAAGGATAATAAAGGTTCTTCGGACGATGCTGTCCTGGATCAACTTTCTAGAAGACGGCTCTTTTTGGAAATGTCAGACTGCGATGAACTCATTGCTAGAGCTCCAGCAATGTTTCGGAAGGTATATGAACGGCATCGAAACTCGCAAGCGCAATACTCGTGTTGGACTAGCGCTTCGTTTTCAAGCCTTCCGCCAGGAGCCGGGATTGTGCGAGCCTCATGTGCTTTTGCTTCATTGCAGATGAGAACGCAAGAGATTTGCACGGCGCATTTTGGCATCATGACACTTTGCGTCGGTCTGTGGCAGAGATACATAGAGTCACATAATTTGGTTCGCAAGTACTACATCAGATTGAGCTTTGGGACGGTTGCTGTGCAGTAGATACAGTGGCGTTGATCGGGAGCTGCACCATGAAGATGGTCCGGTCCGATAGTATTGTGTGATACCTCTTTGTTTGTTCTTGCCAGCTACAAGAAAGTGGGGCGTGGCCCAGGCACAGCTTGCTTGTTGGAGATGTGCTTGTGCGCCATCCAGATCTGGCTGGTTTAGCCCAGCTCCTGGGAAGTCGCTGCTGCTGTCAGCTGCTCCTCTTTCCATCTCTTTCCCTAGTGCCTTCGCAGACACTAGAACCGTTTCCATTCAGGATTCGCCGGCAGAGCTTTTCGCTATTGATGCTCCAGAGGCCAAGCCAACAGCTGCACAGAAAACATGGAAGAGCATTCGGGACCATCCAGCGCGAACTGTCCCCTGCTAGGCTGTGGCATCTGCTCCCTGCCAAGAGCCCTGGCTTGGTGCTGTTT